AGCCGGCTTTCGTGGGACAGTCCTGCTGGGACCCACAGGCGCTGCCCTGTTAGCTCCCCAGGCCCTCCGGGAGCGGCACAGCGGGGGCGGGGTGGGGGGTGGGGGGCAGATAGCACTCTCCAGTGCGGGGGAGGGGAGAGAAAGCCGCTCCGGCAGGGAGGGTGGAAAGGAGCCAGAAAGGGACTGAACTTTGGACCAGGAGACATTCCTGGCCCCGGCACACACAGCACACGGCAGCCCACAAAAGGCCACTGCAGCCTTAGCTTCGCTCTGCCTACACCCAGATCAGGGCCTGGTCCGGAGCCCACGCACCTCAGCAGAAAGAGTCCGGGGCTCCATTCCCCCTAGGGCCGCGGTGAGCAGCATGACCTAACCAGCCACCGGCCTGCCAAGCCTTTTACTATTTTCTGCGCCGGTCCGGAGAGCTAGTGTTCTCACAGCAAAATGACTGTGCTCGTATTATTGTGTCAGCCGCAACTGGCTAATACCGGAGCTGGCGCCTCCCGACGGGCGGATAATTCAGTCACCTGGTGTTTTGATACCCGGTGCTGCAAAGAGCCGCAGGAGACTCGTTAAAGTAGGAGCTAGAGCCGGAGTCGGAGCCGGAGCATCGCTGCCCTAGGAGTCTAGGTGGCCGCCCAAACATTCAGCTTATAGGGAACGCTGGGTGGCTGCCCCCCGACACCGCCCCTAGAAAGGGGACTCTCTGCAGGCCGAGCAGTTGCTCACGCCTGGTTAGGGAGCTCTTCCTGCATCGATAAGGCAGGCCTGTGGGCGAGGGACCAAGGGGCGAGGGTGAGCACGGTGACACGTCCCTAAACAATTCGCTCATTTCCCACGCACATGTGCCTTCCCGACGGGCGGGCGTCATGAGGTCAGCCAGTCTGATGGGCTGGTAACAAACCAAAGCCGTGGGTGGCAGAGGGCACAGAAAGGCGTGTCCAATTTCCAGAGCAGCGCGAGAGGGCTGATCGAACGAGGGCAGCCCAAGCAGAACACTGTGCGCGTGCAGCGGGGCCTTGGATCCGGGCCAGCGGGTGGAGCTGCTGCCCGTTCACACGCACTAGCTACACGGCCAAATGGAGCTGGGAACGGGAGCCAAACCCCCATCCCCTGGCTTGAGGGCAGCCAGGCCCGGCAGCAGCAGGAAGGGGCGGGATTTGAACCATCCCCTGTATGCCGTAAGAGTCCGGGCACATGGTCCTGCGAGAGAATCCATCAGTGGCCCACCTGGATTCCTAGCTCCGTCCTTGAAGGAAGGCTGGGCCGTTCTTGGGTGTGACAGGCCCGGGGCCACTCGCTCTGTGCCAACGGACTGTGTGTGACCTGCACACGGGGCGCTCTCTGTCTGAATCTGCTTGGTTTTCACTAGCAGCCGCCAGCTGGGAAGCCAGGCAGGAAGTGGTACCGTAGTTCAAGACAGGCCAGCGCCCGGGAAACTCGGGAAGGTGGCGAAGAGCAAGATGCCCAGTGACAGAGCCCGGAGCAGATCGGAGTACGGCAGCCTGGCTGTTCCGACTGACACCCTGGGGTTAGGTTTTCCTGGCACCTCCAGTAGCCGTCCCGGTAGGACAGACACATGCGCAGACCGTTCCCTGTTTAACCCCCTTTCTCTCAAGCTGTGACTGATGTGAGAGAAGCCGCCTGGCCGGTCAGTCTAGGTTCCCCATGGGTCTCAGGGAACTCCTACAAGTGCCAGGCTCAGGCAGCTCATCCGTACACTGGCTGATGTAGCCCAGGGCTGGTCCAAGAGGGAGGGACAGGCCCGAGCGGAGCACCCAGCCACACCTGGGGGAGGGGGGAGAAACAGGAGTTCCCTCACTGGTCACAACGTGCTTTCCCAAATAGCGTTTTCCTGTGTACAGTAATCACAGGGCGCGCTGCTCCCTCCCCCTGAACCCCTACCATGCCGGGGCCAAGGCAGGACACTGCCAGCTGTGGCTGGTCTAGAAAGGGCCCTGAGCATCCCCAGCCCCACCCTCTGTGCTACCTCTGCCCTCCAACTAGATTTGGCTTTTAAAAGAAACCAGGTGCACACGTGTGTCCGGCCTATACATGCGTGTGCATCTGCACATGTCCACACGCGCTGCACGAGATTTCTTTGCTTGCACTGTTTTCTGACCTATCACGCCGGCAACGTACCTGCGCTTCCATGGAGGGGGACAGGATCAGGGCAGGCTCTGCGAAGGGAGAGAGAGACATGGTTAATGCTCCTGCGGCAGCTGCACACGCCGCCAGTCTGGCTGATCAGTCCGACTCCGGGAGCGCTGCGCTTAGCATGCGGGCAATGCATCCGCCTGCCCGATACGGACACATCGATGCCATGGCTGTAAGGCCGGGAGGGACCGCTTTGGCCGTGTGGGCGGAGTTCCTGTATCTGCAGGCGGCCAAGTTTCCCACAGCAGCTGGATTATAGAATCATAGAACTGGAAGAGACCTCAGGAGGTCATCAAGTCCAGCTCCCTGCTCTAGGCAGGACCAATCCCAACTAAATCAACCCGGCCAGGGCTTTGTCAAGCCGAGACTTAAACACCTCTAGGGATGGAGACTCCACTACTTCCCTAGGGAACCCATTCCAGTGCTTCCTCACCCTCCTAGGGAATAGTTTTTCCTAATATCCAACCTGGACCTCTCCCACCACAACTTGAGACCATTGCTCCTTGTTCTGCCATCTGTCACTACTGAGAACAGCCTTTCTCCATCCTCTTTGGACCCTCCTTTCAGGAAGTTGAAGGCTGCTATTGAATCCCCCCTCACTCTTCTCTTCTGCAGACTAAACAGACCCAACTCCCTCAGCCTCTCCTCGTAGGTCATGTGCTCCAGGCTCTTAATCATTTTGGTTGCCCTCCGCTGGACCCTCTCCAATGTGTCCACATCCTTTTTGGAGTATGGGGTCCAGAACTGTATACTACAGAGGAGGCCTCACCACAGCCGAATAAAGGGGAATAATGACATCTCTGGATCTGCTGGCAACGCTCCTCCTAATGCAGCCTAATATGCCATTAGCCTTCTTGGCTACAAGGGCACACTGTTGACTCATATCCAGCTTCTCATCCACTGTAACCTCCAGGTCCTTTTCTACAGAACTACTACTTAGCTGGTTGGTCCCCAGCCTGTAACACTGCTTGGGATTCTTCCGTCCCAAGTGCAGGACTCTACACTTGTCCCTGTTACCTCATCAGCTTTCTTGTGGCCCAATCCTCTAATCTGTCCAGGTCACTCTGGACCCTATCCCTGCCCTCCAGCATATCTACCTTTCCCCCTAGCTTAGTGTCATCTGCAAACTTGCTGAGGGTGCAATCCAGCCCCTCATCCAGGTCATTCATAAAGATGTGGAACAAAACCGGTCCTAGAACCGAACCTTGGGGCACTCCGCTAGCTGGATCACAGCATGTCCTCTGGAAAGCCAGCGAACATCACCAAGGCGCCAAGTGGCGGTGAGACAGCCCGTCCCCTGGACGCTGCTCTAATGTATCACTGCCCCCGCCGCTCAAACCTGTCTCACCTCAGCGTCTGGCCACCGATCCTTGTTCAAGGCAGGAGAGACGCCCGCCCCCAATGCACTCTCTTCCCCACGTCTCAGGGCGCAGAGACGACCTCACCTTTCAACCTGCTCCGCCCCACGGGACTGGACTGAGCTCCACAAGCCACCGCTCGCAGGGCCCATTCGCCAGACCCGGGCCGTTCCCATGCCCCTCCGGAAGTGAGGCACCAGAACTCGACACAGGCTCCGAGGGGCCCTACCAATGGGGTGTGCACTTGCACAAGGGCGCCCGTTCTCCTCCCGGACAGTCTCTTGTCATACGTGCCAGGGTCACGTTGGCCTTGTGCAACGAGAGCACATGTCAAGGTGATTCCCGAAATCCTTCCCTGAGCCACCACTTCCCGAGACCGACCCTGCAGCTACAACCTGCATTCTGGCTTCCTGGATTCTTTACCTTGCGCTGGCTGCATTCGAGTGTGTTTTGTGGGATGGTGGCCATTTACCCGGGACTAGGGTAGCCAGGTGTCCGGTTTTCGCCTGGACTTTTCGGTATTTGGCTCCCGCATTCGGTAAAAAACCCAGGTATTTCCTGTTTCCCTCAGACAGAAGCCCGGTGGGGATAGTTGTCCTCTGTGGCATGTGGAGGGGGAGTGAGACGCATGGGACCATTTAAAGGCGCAGTGACCTTTTTACCTTTTTTTTTTTTTTTTTTTTTTTGCTCAATCAAGTTTGCCATATTCAGGATTTTTGTTGAAAGCATCTGGCAAGCCTACCTGGGACACTAATCTCTGTGTCACCTGCAAGCTTTGCCAGAAGAGACTTTGTGTCCTCATCTAGATCCCCGATAGATATTGTAAATAGAGGTGAACTCAGAACCCCGTTAAATACTGGCCTCGCCCATTGAAATCTCATTAAGTCAATCTCATATTGAGGTCTGTCAGTGAGCCAGTTTTTAATTCATCTAGTGCATGCCCTATCAATTCCATACAGTGCAAGCTTTTTCAATCAAGGTGCCATGTGCTAAGTCCAATGCCTTAAGGACATCTAAGTGCATTGTACAAACACAACTTCATTTATCAACCAGATCCATAAACTTATCCAAAAAAAAAAAAAGAAGACAAAAGATGTGTCTGACATGATCTACCATCCATGCTTTCTGGAATTGTGTATTTAGCTTCTGATTCTGTGTTGATAGAGTCCTGAATTAATGGTTCCCTTATTTTTGCTTTGGCTCAACATCCGACTAACCCTTATGCACTTTTCAAATCTTGGCATTATGGTAGTAGTGCTGCAGTCCCTAGGAATCTGCCCAGCTAATTTACAAATTAACACCAGTGATTCACAGTGAGCTTCCTTCAGACCCTTGGGGATAAGTCGTCCTGCCTGTTGATTTGAAAGTGCATGGTTGTAGCCCATGCTGTTGACTCACGTTCACCTTTGTTACAGATAGTGAACTTTCCATTCCATGCACCTGCCCCGCTGCACCAGTGGAATAAAGGTCAGCCCGAGAGAAAGGTCTATGATCTGTGTTCATACAGGGCCTGATACTATGAGATAGGAGGCTGTAGGCCCTACCACAATATAGGTACTGTACAAGCAATAAGCAATCTCCTCCCATTCCCCCAAAACTACACCCGAAGTATTGCATAGGAACGGGTGAGATCTCCCTCCAACATTCTGGCAGTGACACAATGGATACAATACAATGATCGGATTTATTTTATCAATGTACATGTTCACAGTTGCAAGCAGTTATGGGGAGGGTAGACAATTATTTAGTGTATCTCAAAATTAAACTGTATACTCACAAGAACACAAAATGTCAAAATTCAAGCTCTATTTAGCTCTCAAGCAGCATTTTTCTTACTTTGCCTAGCTGTAGCTCTTGGTGATTGCAGATGGAAACTAGTTTTATCTATGGGGAGTGTGTACAGTTAACACAATGTTTACTGACATTTACCAAGGGAAATCTAACCCTTCCAAGCCCACGCTTCCGCTGGTGCAGAAGGAAAGTGTTAAATTGCTATAAACTTTCTCCAACACTGGCTCATCAGGATTAAGTCGTGGGCTAAATCTACACAGGCACTTTACAGCACTGTCACTTTCTGGCTCCAGTGTGAAAAGACACACACACACCCCGCAAGTGCAGCAAGTTACAGCACTGTAAAGTGCCAGCGTGAACCAGGCTACAGCGCTGTTCTTGAAGGTTCTTACAACAAGGAGGGAAAAAATCATTCTCCTTAACTTTGAGGATAGGACAAGCAGCAATGGGCTTAAACTGCAGCAAGGGAGGTTGAGGTTGGACATTAGGAAAAACTTCCTACCTGTCAGGGTGGTGAAACACTGGGATAAGTTGCCTGGGGAGGTTGTGGAATCTCCATCACTGGAGATTGACGAGCAGGTTGGACAGACACCTGGCAGGGATGGTCTAGGCTCTAGCAAGTGCTTGGTCCTGCCATGAGGACAGGGGATTGGACTTGATGGTCCCTCGAGGCCCTTCCAGTTCTAGGGTTCAGAAGCAGGCCCCGCGCTGGAGGAGGCAAGCAGCAGAGACAAGCTTGAACCAGGGTCAGGAGCCAGAGTCTGGGGCTCCCAGCTTGGCAAAGGCTGGAGTAGAAACAAACGTCACTACTCAGACAGCTCTCTGGGATGACTCAGGGCCGCCCAGAGGGGAGAGGGGGGAAGTGGGGCAATTTGCCCCAGGCCCCGGTCCCCGCAGGGGCCCCCACGAGAATGTCTGGAGTCAGAGGTCTGAGACAGGGAGTGCCAGAAAGGGGCCCCCGAAATTGCTTTGCCCCAGGCTCCCTGAATCCTCTGGGCAGCCCTGGGATGACTTCCTCATTTATAGACTGACACAGGCCAATCAGTGAGCTGGGAGGGGCTGCCACTCAGGCCTTGCTGGGTGGTACTTCCTGCCCGGTCTAGCTCCACAAGCCCCCGAGCAGACGCCCAGTGTGAGCTTATGGTGCCTGCAGAAGTGTCATAACCAGGCACCCCCCCAGTGCCAGGTTCTAGTCCTGCAGGTCCTTACAGTAGGGAGTACTCGGGTTGCAGGGCTCAGGGGCAGACGCTGGATGCAGCAGGGATCGGCCTGTCACGTAAACAGCACGTTTAGTGAACAGTCGAACGATTCTAAGCTGGGGAGCGGCGCAGACAGCAGGAAGCGCGGAGATAGAACCCACGAGACGGAGAGAGCGTGGAAACGTGGGCAGAAAATACAGGGAGATTCAGTCCGGGCAGCTGCAGCTGACACCTTGGAGCAGGACGGGTGCCTGGGGCGCAGGCCGGCCGTGCTGGTTTATGCTACAATGCCCATTTCCATAGGGCTTGCACGTGTCGAGGTGCCACGGCCCAGCAGGGAAAGCAGAGGCGAGAACTCTGGGTACCTTCCTCAGCGGGCCAATGGGCAAGGCACCGAACCAGGAGTCACGGGCCCTGGGTTTTACTCCTGACCTGTGGAGTAATCTTGGACAAGGCACCTGGTGAGCCGACAGAACGGGGTGGGGCCTCAGGCAGAGAGGGCAGGGCCGTGGGCAGAAGAGGCAGGCCATGGGCAGAAGGGGAGGGCCTTGGAAAAGGGGGCGTGGTCATGGGCAGAAGGGGCGGGGCTTTCATGGACCACACCCCTGCCTCCTCACTGCTGTCCAGAGCATGCTGCCTGGGGCTCTGTAGTGCTGCACAGGGCTCCAGCAGCGATTTAAAAGGTCCTGGACTCCAGTTGCCATTGCTGCCACAGTAGTATGGCCGGGAGCGCCGGCCCCCTTTGAATCACCAGGCTCCAGGGCAGTCATCCCCTCCGCCCCCCAGCGAGTCATCAGTACAAGGGGATGATCCGGCAGGGCTGCC